TTTTTCTTGCTGGCCCGAGGCAAAGCGTCAACTTGCAGAACCCCCATGTGGCGAGTTAAAATCCCCGCCGAGGTTTCCGCAATCTAACGAAGTCTTTTTGAGGGGAAAGCACCGTGTAGCCGTTGGCTGCACGTAAAAAAAAAACAGCCAAATGTATCATGTAGTCGGAATTAATATATAGTCCTTTGCTGAAGCGTTTCCAGATGCCCTTACCTGCTGTAGTACGTAAAACCCTGAACTTTCACTTAATTTTTCTTGCGAATTGTGAATCTATCTTCAGTTTTCAAAGATTTTTAGTGTTTGTCTGCGATAAATAATCAAGCATGTTGATTTTGGCGTGCTGGTTGTTCAAACGGTTTGCAAGAGCTGCACGGCTCTGGAAGCTACAAGGCTCGTTTGAAATCTTTCAGAATGAAGTAGAAGCAAGAGCCTATGTCTTTCGAAATTAGAAACTTTTCAAAATAAACACGTTTAGTATTGGTGCACTTTGTAGAACGTTGTTCAAAAGCCACTATACCACAACGAACGTGGGATTCTTAGACACGTCGAAAATACTCCTCAACTGCTTTCTAGCGAGGAATAATTTCGTTCATGAGAAGGTATTTAAGTCTGGTCACTGTCATAATAAAAGATGGCTTTTTAGGTGGTTCCAATTTTTCTTATGCATTTTTTAGTTCATTAAATTATATTTTATAAATGTTTATCCAGTTAAAAAATAAGCAAACAACTGGATCCCTCGTTCAATAAGATTGTAGCCATAATCCCCCCAGTAGAATTTGCAGACCTGGTTTTGTTAGGTAACGAAAAATCAGGATGTTTATGAATGTAAGCTTTTGGTATTTAGTGTATTAACGTTTCATCGTATTCGTAAGTAACAAATCATCGCACAAAAGTATTCGGATTTTTTTTGTGTCAAACTTTACTGATGAAGTTGCATTCGATTCGATTTTGATCATGCGTCAGCAGAGGTAGCAGTAGCATCCATCTTAAACTATAATTTTCCTATATAACTTTATATGTGAAGAATAAAGTTATAATAATAATTATTATTATTGTTATTATTATCATTATTATTATTATTGTTAAATGTGTGTACAGATAAAATATTAATATTATTATTCGTATCTCTTTTTATGGGTAGAAATGGAGTGTGCAATGAAAGTATGCCTTTTTATTGGCCTTTTTTCACCTGCCTCCGCAAAGGAGGCCTGACGACTTTCGCACGTGTCTCGCTGGCATAGAGAACACTGTTAACGAGTTACACGGGTGTAATGTCTTAATCTTAGGTGATGTTAATGCTCCAGGTATCAACTAGACGAAGTTTAATGTTTCTACTGACAAATTTCATTGAAAGCAGAAAGGCAACAACCTCCTAAACTTTGATTCTTTTTTAGATCTTGCACAACACAACGATATTCTTAACCACCAAGGTAATGCTTTAAATGTATGTCTCTCAAACATATACTGCGTGCGTGTAGCCCGAGGTGAAGTCCCTATGGTTCCTCTGGATAAGTACCATCCTGCCCTTGATTTAATGCTTTCTTTTATTGATTCCTCGATTCACGCTCCTATTGAGGCTTCTCCTCCACGCATCTTATACAATTTTTAATCACGAGACTACATCGGGATGTTCCACCACCTCTCGAGTGTTGATTGATCTCCGGCCTTAGAATCCTCTGATGCAAAAGAGCAGGTAGCTCTCTTTACGAGATTAATCAAAGAGGCCATAGACATATTCATTCCTTTAAGATATTTAAAGAAACCTCGTTTCCCCTGATTAGTTTTCTAATGAACTAAAAACGCGACTAAAAGGAGAGACTTCTTGCACTCTTGCACAGAAAGTTAAAGAAAAGTGGTCTCCCAAAAGTGGGTGGCGGAATTCAAGAGTTGCAGAAAGAAATGTAATATAATGTTAAACCGTGACCGCCTGGCGTATCGTGACTCAGCGGAATCTGACCTTGTCAAAAACCGTAAGAAATTTTGGAGGTACACTAGATCACGTTCCGGGAAGGATATCGGAACAACAATAGTTTTGGATTACCATGAAAGAGATGCGGAGTGCGTGTCCGAGCTATTTGCAGATCATTTTAGTTCAGCCTACAAAAACAGTACCGCCTGCTCCACAGCCACACTGCCTCACTTGAATGAATTCGGTGACCTAGTAAGTCACATTAATGTCGATGAGAAAGGTGTAGAGCTAGTTAATAAAAAAAATTAAAGCCACGCTATCTGCGGGGCACAATGGTACACCAACTGCAATTCTCAAAACTTTTTATGATATACACCTACACTATGTGCAATATTTAACAACTCATTAAGGTCAGGAGGATTCCCCAAAATATGGAAGATTGCCGTGGTCGTTCCGGTTCTGAAGTCGGGAAAGAAAGGTGATGTTCTCAACTATAGACCGATTTCCCTTCTCTCCCCATTTTCCAAACTCTTTGAAGCAGTCATTCATCAATTCTTGTCGTTCAAATTTCGAAACCTAACCCTCCCTAATCAGCATGGGTTTATGACCAGCAGATCAACGACTACAAATCTTGTAAGTTTTATGTCTACCGCATCCCAGGTAGTCTGCCACAGAGGTCAGCCAGACGTGGTCTACTTTACCTAAGCAAGGCATTTGACGTTGTTAATCCTTTTATCAAAGCTTTCCGCTACGGGGTTTGTGGCACAGTATACGACTGGTTTCAAAGCTATTTGTCAAACAGAAAAGCGTACGTTCGAGTCAACAATATGAACTCTTCATTGGACGGGGCAAATTCTGGCGTTCCTCATTGATCCTTCCTAGGACCGCTCCTGTTCGCAATCTTTGTAAATGACGTCCCTGATGCTATTTCTAACTATTCGTGCCTGCAATACGCTGATGACATTAAAATTTACAAAGAAATAATTACTTTCGATGATTGCGCTAGGCTTCAGGAAGATGCATGTTCTTTTTTTAGGTGGTGCTCAGCCAATTATCTTCTCTTAAACCGCGCTAAAACCAAGGTTATGACATTCACTTGGAAGCTACAGAATGCATATTTAGGATATAGTATTCATGGTGAACCCCTGTCCCGGGTATGTGCAATGAAGGATCTGGGAGTTATGTTCGATCCTAGCCTGCGATTCTCTAGTCACGTAACTAGGCTCGTTAACTCGTCTCTGTGCACGCTGGGTGTTGTCTCTCGCTTAACGAAGGACTTCAGGCATCCTTCTGCGTTTCTCACGTTGTACCGCTCGTTATGCATTCCCCAGTTAGAATATGCCTCAGTTGTGTGGAACGGGATCTCTAAAACCAACTCATTGAAAATCGAACGAGTTCAGAAAAAGTTTATTTCTATCTTTAAACATCGCTACCTTATGAAGGATGTTCATTGTTCAACTTATCACACAACGTTAGAGTGTGTTGACTTGCTGAGCCTGCACCGGCGTCGGCAGAACGCGGACCTATTGTTTTTGTTTAAAACGTTGCTTGGGTCGATTAATTCCCCAAGCCTCTTGTCTGAAGTGTGCCTTAGGGTTCCACGTGTTCCTGTTTGGAATCAATCATCTTTTTATATTTCCAAAAAAAATTAGTCTTTTAAGCCCAATTAGTAGACTGACTGAGTGGTATAACCAGTACTCTGAGAAACTCGGTATTTTTAACTCTGCTACAAAGCATTTGTTATTTCTATTGAAGACCTGTACGGCAGGTGAATAATGATTGTGGTTCACTTTAAGACTGATTTCGGAGAGCACAGACATTGTTGGGTCTGTGCTTGTGCTACTGCTTCGTGTATTATTCGCTTTGGGTGCCTCTCACACAAAGGCGTGAAAGATCCATTCCAATTAAGAGGTATAGCGCTTTGGATTTTTCAAGCAACTTTATTCAAGGAATACTCAAAAACATGTTTTGCACTTTTTGCACTATTTCTGGTATAGTGGCCGATTTTCGAATTGTACTCCAAGAATAAATTTTCTAGCATTCATGATCACTTTTAAACTCGGGAGACCTCTCAGACACAGTTGAAAATGACAGATCGGAGTTTTTTTAAGTGCTTTTCATGTTAGCACGAATTTCTTTGGATTTTATAACTTTTTGTAGAGAGTATAAAGATATCGCGCAACATTTTGTTTTTATTTTAAGGTAATCGAGCGCATGATGTACTGCAACAAGTAGCTGTAAGCTAAGAAGTTACTAACACAAGAAATGCTAACCATATAATTTAAGGGACGATGTCAAATTAAAAAGAATCTAGTTAGGAACTATAGCCACCTGTGAGTCTTCCCAATAGCTTTTGTAATAGCTGTTGCACGAAGATTTTCAAGAACCGCGCTTTAAAAGTTAGTCTGGCCACCTGAAACTAAAAACAAGAAGGCGGCTCACGTGACAGTTCGGCCACCTAGGGCACATTTTAGAAAGGCGTTAAAGCCGGGCTGCGGTTTATACGGCATCTATCGGATGAAGTAAGTATATACTTTTAGATCGTATTTTCATTGCGTATGAGTTGTATTACCTGTTTCATTTATTTCCAAAGTGTTAAGTGCACTAACGATCGTATGAGTACTGCACAAAATATGCTGTGTTGATTGATTTTGATGTGCTATTGCATCTTCTTGTACTTCTTTAATGTTTATTGTTTTTGTTTTCACCTGCTGGGCAATTTAAACGGGCAATAGGGCCATGCCAAACAGGGTTAATCTGCCTTTTGTCCTGTTACCCTTGACCTAGTGTCTAAATAAAACCAATTCAATTCAAAGTGACACAGATGTCTAGGAACATACTCCTGCCAACATGTTGTTGACAAAATATTCACACCGTCTATCAATAAAACTGTGACTGCTGTGAAGCAGGGTAGAAAACATGCGCTCAGCCTCACAAAAACGGCGACATGGAAATGTCCCAGATGTCGTATACTTGATGATGCTCCCGTTTACCACCTCCGATTTGCTTCAAAGTGCTCTCTTCGTCTCGTTAAGAACAAAATAAAAAGGAAACGGGTGAAGTAAAAATCGAAGCTGCCAATGATTCTTACCTGGTCGGCCTTTTTGATGTCTCCGGTGAGCCTTGGATCGCAGTCACTGTAGACGGCGAACAGAACGAGGCCGGTGATGACGGATAAGAGCAGCGTAATTGAAACTCCGGGAACGTTGAGCAGCACCGCCCTGCGGTGAAGAAGCGCAATTCAAGGACGGCGTCTAGCGACGGATAATTGCACAAATATTACCCTGGATAATTAGCGTGGAGCAGAAAGCTAAAAATGAATGGGCGCACTTTTCTACACTAAGTGCACGGGTGAAAATTAATGCGGCCCTTCACCAGGACATTTAACGTTTTATGTCTTTGATTATCACTTATGTTTTTCAAAAGGTCTCAATGCAAAACAAAGTGCCTTATGATCGTTTAGCAAGGTGCGTTAATTGACTTCATATGTCTTTTAAAGTGTGAACAAGAGATGGTTGCAGCACATCTTCCTGATACGATAAATAAATTGCACAAATAGTTAAACGTTGAACGTTACCTAAATACCTGTCGTTTCCGCACGTAATAATGCACGTGCAACCAACAAAAAAATGTTTTTTTTTTTTTTGGAGGGGGGGGGGGAGGGGACGGTTGAATTAAACAACTGGAGACGAATAATATAACGTTTTGCTTCTCTCAACGACATAGATTTTCCGAGAAACCACTCTTGCAAGGCGATGAACCTTTCCTGGTAAAGCACAGAAAAGTGAATAGTTCGGCCTTTCAGTTGATCTACGTCCGTCCCGTACAGCGCTGGGGATGGTGTAAGTTTCGCCATAAGCGCATTTAAAGCAACATGTGGATTTCTTAGATTGAAACTTGAGAAGATCTTAGTGCGCATACGCACGAACTCCTCCATTTATCATAAAAAAATAATCATCGTAAGGCGCCGGATATCAGGGAGTTTGCAGAGATTTGTATCGTTTTCTGGTGTACCACAAAACCGAACTTAGGGCTGCTGTTGCTTATATGTATGCGAAGGACACCGTATTATGCGTGAATCATTCTAATGTATTCTTGTCTTCGTTGATGATGTAACTTCTTTAAAGGTCAATGATTATAGCGATTGTATTTTATTACAAAATATATTTATTAATATCCGAGTGGTGTTTTAAGACCAAATTTAGATCCATCAAAAAACCAAATTGATTTCTTTGTCGAGGAAGCGTGATGTTTTGTTCTGCCATTATGTTCTTGACGGTTGTTTGATACCTCGAGTGTCTCTGGTTAACACCTTGGCATTTATATTAATCACAGCCTTTCTTTTTGGAGAAGATGCTTCCATCATTGTGGGCTCAGCGCTAAGATTATTGAAAATGGTTACTCGTTTGTCAAAATATTTTACCTTGTCATTCTTCATAATACGTTTGTTGTGTAGCCTTTTTCAGTCTAGGCGTGAGCTCTGATCAGTTATTTGAATTTCAACTTTTTCGACCCAAGCGGAAATTATTGAAAATGTGCAGAGAAGATTCATAAAAATACTTTATTACAAATACATTGTCCGGAGAGTGTTTGTTAACTGTGAATATTTGCTAAGTACAATTAGACTGGAATTTCTAAAAGCCACCGAGAGCTTTCACATAACTATTTTTTACGCAAGGTAGTGCACCGAGTTGTAAAATCTGAAATTTACTTGATAGTGTTGATATTCGTGTGCTTACTAGAACCACTTGTCATTTTCTTGAATGCTACCCCCAAAAACATTTGCATACAGCCACCATTATCAGGAATGCAGACGGCCGAAATTTTCATTAAAGTTTGTAACTTGTATATTTTTATAGTTTTCAATATTGGGGGCAACCTTGCAACATTGTTCGTCATCTGCGCTAGAGTCGTGGCGTTTACATTTTGTCATTTTATCACTTCATTTTTGATTTGGTATACCTTTGTTTCTAAATTTGCTTTGTATATATATATATATATATATATATATATATATATATATATATATATATATATATATATATATATATATATATATATATATATTGTACATTATCCATGCATATTCTGTATAAGTTGTATATTATTTTGTACAAAGTCGTAATATTTCAGCATTTTTACTGACCTTTTTATTTTTGTATGTTTTGTTTAATGATATTACTTTTGTCTTAGGAAATCTTAGCCTATAACACAAAAGTCATTATAGGTATTTGTGAACACCACAGCAAAAGTCAAGCACTATTATATTGTTATGTCTTACGCGACTCAACAAACGAGGCTTATTAAAGTGCCGGGTGTTCGGGATGGTTTGGGAGCGTACGACCAGATAATGGCACGACTGTTCGCACAAACATTCTCTGAAGCAGTCAGCCATAGTTTTTAATTAATTTCAGCTTACCCGAGCACAGCGTTGTACAAAATGTTCGAGGCCACATTCGACGCTAACTTTAGTACACAAAATCTTAAAATTGAGAACACAAACCCATGCGTTGGCAAAAACAGCCGCGATCATACTCAATCCGCCAGAGAGTAAAGAGCAATCTAATAATAAGGGGGGCGAAAATTAGTTTTACCATAGATTTCATGAATTCCCGCGATTTTCCCGGGGCCGTCATACGCACGAGCGCTACGTAGAGGCATACTCCAGCGCAAATAAGCGAAAAACATTTCGGTGTGTTGCCGCGCCGTTGCCGCCTTCAACTGCGTTTGGGTTGAATGACGTGAGAACACATACAGAGGAACGCTGGCCATGATAATGTTTTCTAATGTCGAGGCGCCCGACTTCAGAACGAGAACGAGAAATACGGCCGAGGTAATGCGCAGTCGACGCGGCCAAGCCGCTGCGGGCGCATTAGGAGAGGTGGGAGCGGGCAGCGCTTCGCTTTTGCGCGGAAGCTGTCGTTGGTGGCACTGCCAACCAGCCGCCAAGGCGGGGTTGGTGCGCCCCTTGAACGTGTCGCATGCTCCTTACACAAACCCGCGTTTTTCGCGCTGAAAAAATAGACTACTCATCGCCGAATCCAGATACCAACTTGTCCCGCGGGAACGTGAAGATGACAGCTTCCGATACCCCAAACAGTTCCCAATTTTCTCCTTGAAAAGTTTCCAATTTTGAACTTTTGAGTTGGAAAGCTCCGTGAATTCGGTGCCATGGTCCAAACTGCTAGAGCTTGAAGCGAACGAAGGCTGGTAGTACAGCGATGCGTCGTTTATTTCGCGGAATTTACGAGTGGGCGGGTTCGTAGTTGGTAGTATTGGCTGCATACTTACTTTCTGGCATCCTTGAGCGAACCGATGCTCGAGTACCGCTGAACCTGAGTCTGGCCGGCGCAGTACGCGGACATCCAGACCACCGTCCAACAAGAAAACATGTTCCAACTCGTGTAGGTGTCGTACGGGCTCACACTCAAGCTGCAATGAAAACACAAAAAAGTAAACGTTTTTTTTTTTATTGTGATGTCTTTTTTGAAAGGAAGGCATTGAGTTTCTGCTGCTGTATCAAAAATGGGAATGGTTGTAACACAGGGTGCGAATACGGAATAGTTGTACAAATAGAGGATGTTATATATCAACTGACAAGTTTAAGAGGAGCGTTCCGTGCTCCGACGATCAGTGCACCGCCGAAAAGAACGCAAAAAAAAGAGTCACAAATCAAGAAGCGTGAACACAGTTAAGCTGTCCTATTAAGATCAAATCAAATCAAATCAAAATTCTTTGTTGTGACATCATCTTACATGACAACAGAGACTCGGACAAAAAGCTGCCGAGTAGCAACTTCACAAAGGTCCCAGCCCCCGCGCAGTTCTTGACCGCAGAAAAAAATAATAATATACTAATATGCAAATAGTATTAGATGAGATGAATAATTTAATCACAAAAATACCCGAAAGCACCAGACATTTGAAAACACGAAAATATAGCACATAATATAACGCACCAAAATCACACAACAAAAACAACAGAAGTATTCGGAGTCACAAATACAAAATTAAACTTAATAATCCTTTATGTGACAGCGTTTCTAAAATTATACACTTTTTACACAAACTATTTAGCATGGTGGACAAATTGAATGAAGCGTCTAATCAATGCAGTTAGTACGCGATGGACGAATAATCCAAGGCCTGGCTGAATATGTCTTAGGTCGCGCAGGACGATGCCAAGTTTTAGGTTAGCTCATTGAATGAATTGAAGATTCTTTGCTGAGGAGCCCTTGCGATACGTTGTTAAAAGTTTGAACGCATGTATATGTAGAATTGTGTTTTACGTTTAGTGCTTTAACAATGATGCAGTGGGATGGGGAAACGGGACACAAGAAATCGCACGCTCTGCTTTTTTGTAAGAGGTGCAACTTTTTCAAGTTTGTTTTGGTTGTAGCGCCTCAAATAAGGTTAAAGTAACTTAAACTGGAAATGACTAACGAATTATAAACAGTTAATTTAATATCAGTAGGAAGTAGAGTTTTAAATTTCATTATTAGCCGAACGCTTTAAGATAACTTCGCTTGGACATGATCTAAATGAGCATTGCAGCTCCTATCGTACGAAAGCAAAAACACCCAGTATTTTAACAGTTCACAAGTTCAATCTGTTCATTGTTTATTGTAAAGTGAACTGAACCATTTATATTTTTATTTATAGGGTTGAAAAGAATTGCTTTGGTATTTTTACAGTTTAATTTTAGTTTGTTGTCGAGTGTACAGGTGGTAATTTGCTTTAACACTTCTTGCATTGTGGCAATAGAAGTGCAATAGGAAAAAAAAAACTTGTATCATCCGCGTAAATGGTCAGTTTTACAGCAATGTTTTCAGCCACGGTTATGACGCCGGTAATGTAAAAAATGAATAACAATGGCCGAAACATGCTACCCTGGGCAACTCCCGATGTTATGGCTAGCCTAGATGAATGAAAGTTTGGAAAGGACACCTACTGATTTTTATTAAGCAGGATTTTAAAATATCAAGGGTTATACCTCTTACTCTTAAGCAAGGGCAATTTTCAAAGTAAAATATTACGATTGGTGAAATCGAATGCCTTTGAGTAATAAAAAGCAGCCTAAAGTTATATCTTTTTGGTGAAGTGCCTTTACATTTAATTTTTTTTTAATAAGGCTATTTCGGTAGATCTGCTTACGAAGTCCAAATTGTGAATCAGAAATTAAAGAATGTTTGTCAAGATGTGTTAGGAGACTTCGATGCAAAAGTTGTTCGAGTGGTTTGAAAGAAAAGAAAAACAAGGACAATTAAAATTTAAATTATGTTCGACATAATTGCTTCTGTCGAAGATATCCCCGCCTTTGTGTAGGATAGTAACATTTGATACATTCATTTCGAGTAGAAAAGCGCCAGTTTGAAATGCCATGTTACATTATATATATATGTATATATATATATATGTTCAATATTGTGCAAGTATGTCAATAACATATTTTATAGGTCTTATCCACATGTTACCCGAGTCAATGATTTTAATATTTTTAAGATTCATAATGAGGGTGACCACCCGTTCCGCGACTCGCGGGACTGTCCCGCATTGAGGGCTCGTGTCCCGCGTCCCGCGAGAAATTTCCATATCCTCAAAATGTCCCGCATTTCATACTGTCGTAAAATCCACTCTGCACCTCATGGTGCTGCCGAACAACGGGGCACGGGGAAGCGCCGAGGTCGCTGGTAATCGTGTGAATCGCAATGGTACACCATTTTCTATCCAAGCATTTTGGGAAGCGACCGTCGTTCTTGCAGGAGAACCGACGCGCTTGCTCCCCTTGGTGGAAAAATATTCTAAGACAAATTGCTCGCCAAAATTTAAAATATAAGATACTGTAATTATTTTCATATCGCTGTGTCACAGCAAAAGGTTTGCTGTGGATTTATTTTTTTATTTTTTCGTGAAGACAGCTACAGAACGCTCGGCGGGCCGAGCACCGCGAGTTACGGAGGCAGCTCAGCGAATGACGATGTCGAAACATATGTTTAGACAAAAAAAAAAAAAAAACGCAGTCTGAGTTGTGACATTACGCAATGCAAGCGTGACGTTTTGCATTGCTTAATGTCAAAACTCATACTGCGTTTTTCGGTCTGAACATATGTTTCGGCGTCGTCATTCGCTGAGCTGCCTCTGTAACTCGCGGTGATTGGCTCTCCGAGTGTTGTGCGGGAAAGTAGACGCACGGGCTTTTTTTAGAGTGATAGCACCATGTTGATGAAAGTAAGCGTTGACAGGAAACAATAATGAAAAAGATTTACGGTTTCTTATTTCCATTTGATGCATTGAGTTTTGCTTCAGCTGATTTTTATGTTTTCAATTTCGACACATTTAGTAACACATTTGGCATAAAAAAACTATATCGCTGGGAGTAAAAAATATTTGAGCTGAATTGCTGAGCCTGCAATACAATTTGCAGGTGTATAAACAGCACAGGATATTAAATGTGTTAACAGAGCCTCGGTTCGTGGTGTGAGCGTGTTAATAAATTTCCTCTACCTTCCCCCCCCCCCCCCTCCCCGCCTCCCGCCACCGCTGTCCCGCATTTCGACTGCAGGAAGGTGGTCACCCTATTCATAATAGTTGAGTACACTTCCGACTGATCAGTGGGAAACAAAAAAAAAAAAATTGTATTCGTCTGCAACAATGGCACGAACTCTAGAGCTTTATCTATAGACCTTTTTATTTCAGTAGTTGCCCGACCGTCGGGTAGGGGGCGCTGGCACACTCGCCACCATGAGGTTGCTTCAATTTGGTTTCATGAAATCCGAAGTGCATGCGAGGCTAGAAATAAAACAGCGCGGAGTAGGTAGACTGGCTTTGGGGGCACATTGCAAAACGCCAAACCAGGGAGTACAAGGAGACATGGGATGGGCGTCATTTGAGAGCAGGGAAGCGGTGAGCAAGATAGAATTTGAGGATAGGTTGAGGCAAATGGATGGGGAGCAATGGGCACGAAAGGTTTTCAGCTATTTATACATGAGGAGTGTAGACACAAAGTGGAGACAGCGCACTAGGAAATTAAGAGGAAAGTTTTTGGCCTATAGCGAAGATACGGAAGAGCAAGTCTCAGTTAAGAAGAAAGTTAAGGCCACAGAAAGAGATCGGTGGCTAGAGGGAATGCAGAAAAAGACGGCTCTGGAAAGCTATAGATTAAACAAAACAGTTATTGCCAAAGAAAGCATTTATGACAATTCTAGGGGAAGCTCGTTGTTGTTTGAGGCGAGGACGGGTGTTCTGCGAACCAGAACAAACAGAGTGAAGTACCAGGAAATTTATACAGTGTGCACTGCTTGTGGAGAGGAGGACGAGACGGCTGAGCACTTGATACTTTACTGTAAAGGGCTTCACCCTATGCCTACCGATGACAACATAGATTTAATAAAATCATTGGGTTTTAAAGACAGCGAAGGGAGAGTAGATTTCAAGACTGTAGAGATTACCAAGCAAAGATTAAGTGAATGGTGGCAGAAATCGAGAGAAAACTAGGTATTTTCTTATTCACTGATGGCAAGGGGGTTTCATAGCCTCACTTTCTTTGCACTGCGGAGTGAATATAGTTTTCACATTTAAATATTCTAAGCTTAAATTTTAAAACAAAATGGCTAGGTGGCGTAAGCTACCGCCCGATCCAAAAGGCTCAGCCGTATTCATTCATCCATCCATCCATCCATGAGGTTGCTTCAATTTGGTTGGTTTCGGTTTTAACGTGCACGCAATTGCGTTGCTATTTCATGCCGTTTTCGCTTCTTTTGTGATACAAATTTATTTATTCTAGCACACAGCGAATGAAACAATGGTACTCAGCCGCTTTGAGGACCAGGAAGTGGTTTCAAGCCTAAATTACGAGCACTTTCACGAACACCAAATGCGTCTGATTACGTCCATCGTTCATTTCACCCATGTTCGGCGGTGAAACAACCGCGCTGATGCACGGCCGTACCCGCGGGCGTACCCGCGGACACTAGTTTTTTAGGAAAATAAAGAAGGAGCAGGACAAGCTCCGCCTCCAGCCGCTCCAGCACGAGCTCGTTGTTTGCCGCCGTGCCTTTGACTGGGCCTGCACCGTGTGGTACGGCAGGTAGATAGCTCGCGCTCAAGTCAGAGATTCGACTGCTCATCCTGTATTGCAACAAACTACAATGCATGAGCGCTTAGAGAAGAAGTAGGTCGACAACCATGATTAACTATCCCCTGAATCATGAAGAACAGATGGAGGGACAAGTTTATTGCTCGATGTTGTGTTTTTGTATGCCAAGTTTTTATGAACGTCGCACGGGAAAAGTCTCCAATAATGACGTAGAGAATATAAAAAAGAACTGATATTGTCTCGACCTGTTTTATTTAAAAATTTAAGTTAGAGAAGTAGTTTTGTGGACCACACTAGGCGGACTAGAAAATGTCGTTAACTGAAGTAGTCATTAACAACATTTCATAATATTGGCCTTATGAAATAAACTCTTCGTTGTATGGGCATTTGCTTACGACATTTTCAAGCTATAAGATAGGTAAAAGACCCTCAAATGTAGTCTGAAGTTTATCTTCCGTAAAATTTGCCAAATAAAATTAAAGGGCGCAAAAGAACTGATATAAGGAAAGTTTGGCTGAAGTCGAGCGCAGGGAGCTACGTACGACATGGACCTATGTAGGAAGCATTTTACTGGTTTAAACCGATATGCGCTTTGTAGATTTCGCCATCGCCAGCTACTGAAAGCAAATCCCTATTTGCCGTCAACAACGCTTCCCTCGGGCGATTTTCATGCGGACAGGTTCTTTTCGGTGTCACATACTATGTACCCCAGGCACTCTCAAGCTGTCTGCGACAGTTTCTTACGCGAGGAGTCGCAATATTTTGTTGAAATTAAATAATTGAAATTAACTTCGTGGTTATCTTAAGGAAATTATTTAGGCAATTAAAAGGCATGGGTCGGTATACAGTTACTTGGAATTCATATATACACCGATCAAGCGAATGTTTATAACGCAAAAAAGATTAAGAACGTCAAACAGATGTAGGTGTTATTGTAAACAAATTGTCTGACGTTGACGTACCATTATTCCTAGCATAAAAAATCAAATTAAACGTTTGTACTCTATCTTGTCCACGAGTTACCCCCTATACCGTAATCAAAATGAACTGTTCTCGATGTGTTAAATACAAAACACGATGCTTTCAGAAACACACGTGGCTATTTATGCTGACTAATTTTGCCACCTTCCTTGAGATCCTAAATGCGCGATCATATATATCCTTACCTTGTTCTTCCTATTGCGAATGTTCCGCCACTATTAGTTAGCAAACCTGAGTTCTCGTAAGTTTCTGACTTTTGAACCGTCGTGCTGTTTTAGAGTCGTACATGTACTCAATGTGTCTGAGCGCTAACGCTACACTCTTAACACATATCCGGCACGCCGACGGTAAAAATTGTCAAAACTTGTTACAAAACTAACTGCAGAAGTTGGGCATATAATGATGTAATGCAATTACGTGGTAACTGGTAAGTATAAGTATCAGACAACACTTTCCAGAGTAAGGTAAAAAACGCGGGGAAACGCGACGAAAAACACGCATTTAACGCATCCGCCAAGGCGCGGAGTAGCGCGGAGGGGAGAGCGGAGCAACAAGTTGAAGTAACCTAAAGGCGGCCGCATCACGTGATTCCAAGATGGAAGCGCCCATGGGGCGGAGGGTGAAAAGGTCTATACAGGAAGATGACACACAGGTAGAAGCCCCAACGATTACATAAAAGATAAATAAAAATAAACAAATCTTACACACATTTCCCAAGGTGACCGCCGTTACTTTAACGTCGTTTGCGCTTATTTCATGGGACATGCTTTGGGATAGCTTGTAGTTTAGCGATGATCGTATTCTTCTCCACATAACATAAGCTTTCTTAGTTTTTAATGGATGAAAAAGTCTGTTGTAGTAGTCACGGTTATCAGTCCTTAGATGACTGTTTAGCTTATTGCGGTGCTTTTTAAAGGTTGCAAGCTCGCTCACCGCTCTCGCTTTTAAGAAATTTTGAAATAAATTAGTTTATAAAGATATAAAATATAGAAGCACAGAGTCAATTCCAGCGAAATAATAAACCGCACAGAAGTACTAGGTTCCCTCTTAAGATTAATGGCGTCGAATTGAGGGTGTATATTCATTTTCTTAGTTGAATAATAAAGTAGGGGGTATGGCTGCTAGGCAAATTATTTGTTAAAAATGAACGCACGCTTTCAAATGTTATATCATGCCCCGAGCACCCTCACTCATCGAAAAGTCTGGAATTTTGGATGCGAGAAGGAGAACGATGACCACACGCCGCCGTTCCACGCTGACGGTAAAAAGCCAAGTATAGCGACGAAAAAAAAATACGACAAAATAGGGTGGTGTATAAAACGAAGGCAGAAATATTGAAATTCAGCTGGCCCCGTGAGGTGCTCAAGTACCGCAGCAAGCATCTCGATGAAGGGGAGCTGGATACAAGAAAGTGATCTTTTAAGGAAGAAACAGGACTTCTCGTAACCTTCATTATGCCGTTGTGCCGTGCGGTGTGCATCAAAAGCTGTTTTACTCTGTGCTTCGGTTTGCAATTTGTAGGTCCTACTGCTTGAACATACACTCACCAGCTATCTTTAAGGTATTGGAATTGTGATTCGCTAAACAACTGGAATAAATATGTGATGATTCGGCGACAATCGATCAATACCTTCGGGATCTTGTAGATCCTGAGATGGAGAACAATAAAAAAACAGACGAAAAAATTTTGTTGTCTTCGTCAGTTTTTTTTTTTTGTTTTTTTTTTATTCCCATTTCAGGGTCTACAAGATGTAAATTCATTATCAGCTCGCCTCCACTCTATCACTGCTTACAATACCTTTCGGCATTTAAGTTCATATTTTTCTCTCTGACGGGGCCTCGTCAGTCAAGTGTCCCACGAACGATTTCGTACGTCACGGGCAGAAATATATGAATCGTGGAGTCAACGACGGACAGCTTAAAACTGACGGCCGCTTGGGTAGCGCGGGTCAGAAAAGATTAAAATTATAGTGTCGCTCTATACACTTCACCACGTCTTTCGTCATTGCCACGCAACATGCTGTAATTCAAATATGTCATCTACTCGACAGAAAAGATGGCGAGGACGTGAGGCGGAACGCGGCAAGAATATATCGCACAATGTTGGTAATGAAATGCAGAAAAAAAATATAGAAAAATTAACTTACTTTAGAAAAGTTATCCTTCCACCTTTTTCGGCAACTTCCCACACCTTGCTGATGCCACCAATGTGGTAGACTCCCTGGAATAATTTAAGACACATCTCCTTTCACAAATATTACGGACTGCATACATATTTATTATAAACGATTTTCTTTGGAAAGTAAATCGGGTTGGAGCTGTACGCCGATGACGGCTTCGAGAAAGAGCCTATAAAATTAAACTTCCGGAAAGTTTAAAAGTTTGCAAATTCTACAACGGATATGTATGTATGTATATCTGTATATATGTATGTATGTATGTATATCTGTATATATGTATGTATGTATGTATATATGTACGTACATATGTATGTATGTACGTATGTGCGTACATACGTATATATGTATGTATGTATGCATGCACGTACGTACGCACGTGTGTGTGTGTGTGCGTGCGTGCGTGCGTGTTTGTGTGAAAGTCTGTTAAGTGGAGAAACGGTGATATATTGCAGTCTATATTTTAATGCTGTGAAACTCGCTTTTCCTTTTAGAACATGATTAAGGATTCACGGCGGTACGGTTTTAAGGCGCAATAAGCATTGCTCTTTCATGTTCAAGTACTCAGTGAGGTAACATTTTGAGAGGATTCGAATATTGCCTAATATTCTGATGTATATTTGGGAAATGCTTCTACTAAATATTTTATCCATATTTATAAAATTATTTCTTTTAGGTTCGTTTCGAATGATCATTGCTTTAGCTTAACACTGGATTTTCGTACGTACAGAAATGATGACCATGATGTAGCCGACGAAGATGAGGACCATCTGGACTACGTCTGTCCAAACGACGGCCTTGATGCCTCCCTGGAAATAAATCCAGAAACGGCATACGCATTAGACGATCGAGAAGCAAAACCACGAGCTGTTGCGTGCGTGCAACCGTGTGTACGTGTTTTCGTATATGGGCGTACTTACAATTGTGGTGTAGAAGGTGCACACCAGACCGTTCAGGAGGATCGAGGTCGAGACGGGAATTCCGGTCACTGTGAATTCATTCGAGAAAAGAGACATATGAATGGGACCTCGAGAGGAAACTTTCCTGTGGCTGCGCTTGCCTCCTCCGCAAAGTGTGCGCCCCAACCCTCTTATAATGAAAAAAAAAATATATATATATATTCGTGATGTTCTTTGTATAAAAGAAGCGAATACTTAACTATACTAGCTGTCACATAAAAAAGAGAAGTTTTGCGCCCTATACATGCGATACCCGAAGTAGTCCTTACAAGTAACGACATTTGATTTTCGGAGGAAAAAACGATGCTTCTGACGTTCAGAACGTGTACGTTTTGATAAAATGATGTAAAAATAATCTTAGACGTATCAACATATATCGTAATTAAACAGATGAAGTGGAAAATTAGTAACGTTCTGTCAAAAGCTGGACTTTTTTCACTGCGGTTCTTGAGGCGAATACGATTGTATTTCTTTTGAACAGCGACTAAGTCATGACGGCTGAATCTTAAAATAGGAAAGTGTGTCTGTCGCGTGAGCTGCCAAGTGTATTTAGATCCCAACAGAACGCGGAGCACGCAAAAAAAGTCGAGCCCTCGATCTCCTTTCTCGTTTTGGCAGTTATTACTCAACAGATCTTTAGGACGGTCACGTTTTTTTCACAGAAGCGAATGCTCCGATACCGATACATTGATCATGTGTATCATACTAACCCAATATTTTGCCAAAAGCAATTTTCAAAACCCCCTCTTTCAAAACCGCTAAAACCACAGATTTTCAAAACCACCCCCAATGCTGCACGTCTCTTAAATGTAAATGTTTTGCTCCAACACGCTATTGACTGAAAATGCCTTTCCGCAGTTATTGTGGTAGATACTGACACTGCTGATTTTAAAAGTGCAAGGACTGATTTCTTATATGACGTCATGTAGTCCTTTTTTTATTGTTCTAGATTTATCTTTACCTTACCATAAACCCACACCTCTCGGTAATGCCTTCGGGCCCTGAGAGTAAAATAAATTAAATTAAATTCTCACCAGCGATGCGCTGCTTACATAGGCGAAAACAAACGAAGTTAAGAAGACATCTATTCTTTTCATAACCGCACTTCAGATTGCAAAACGTGCCGCCTTGCAGTACTTCAGAATCTATACCACCACGTGCGAGTTACGCACCGTTGAACCGAGGGCCGAGCTTCTAGGACCTGCACTCCAACGAGTTTAGGCTTAAGGGCAGGCTGGGTGTTCAGATTGGCAACTGTACACCCACTCCGTACCGAAGCAGAAACTTCCTTTGTAAAATCTTTCATGGTATTTGAATATGCTTGTTCATTACTACAAATCTGAAAGTAAGAATGGCAGAACTAAAGAAGCATGACGTACTGAAGATGGATCCCTTATGAAGTGTATTTCGTTTGTTTGATTTTATACAACACTTCAATGCAGAGGTGATAAAGGAGAAGATTTGCGAAGCGATACGTTGCTTGGGGAAATCAGATGTACAGAACCTTGGGGAACCAACTGACCTGCTCCAAGAGCGAGTGACGGGCCATAGAGCACCACTCCTGTGTAAAGAAGCTGTAAATTCAGACAGTAGAATAAGCCATAATGAGCCCACAGCATAGCACAGTGCTCTGCAGTACGGCATTCTTGAGTAAAAAAATGTAAAAAATGTACTAGCGCCCTTGCGCTCTAATTATAGTATATATATGATGCAACGAAGCCGCAGGTCAGCCAAAATTTGTGTGAAATGCCCTTCACAAAAAAAAAAAAAAACACTTTGCAAGGTTGCATTTTTATTTTCCTCCAACTTCTGGCGCCATTTCCCGGTGTGCGCAGCGAGCAGACGAAGTTACATTCAGCCCTAACTTAAACACAAATTAAGTACAAATACAAAACATAATTTAAAAAAGATAGTCGCGAGGCAGGACGTCAAAGTTGTGTGCTTTGCACGAAACAAAGCGTATTCCATGTGCCTTAAGGCAAACCAGGACACCAACCACACGAAAACCTGCAACATCTCTCACAGGACGCGATATTCCCCATGTGAAAAGGGGGTTGTATATCCCATCCACTTATTGTGTAGCAATTGTCACATTGGCCAAACTGGCAGATGCATTACCGACAGGACTAGAGAACACGCAGCATCTCTAAAAGGCACAACGGCAGGTCATCTACCAGCCTAGCAAAATGGACAATTGGGCGAGTTGGTAAGAGTTCATAATTACTTACAGCGCGACTGGGACAAGGACAGACAGAGGAGAAAACACACAGGACAAGCGCTGCTTGTCCTGTGTGTTTGTGAATGCAGTGCAGAGTTCAGCAGCATCACCATCATCGCAAAACACAAAAACCAGTGTGCACGAGAGATGCTGGAGAACTTGGTCACAAAAGAAAGCGAAGCAACGTGTGCCCGCGAGCCCTCGATCAAGCTCAATACCAAAGATAAACAATATTTGCGGTGTTTTATGTCGCGATGAAGTGCGGGTGATTCAAATTTAAGTTAAGCAAGATTTTACGGTATAAGTTGTGTTCTTATGTGGCTTTTAAAACAAAAAAAGAAGAAAAAAAGCACATAGTCGAGGTTCAAAAAGAGGAGGGGTTAAAACCATTTTCGTAGTCCAGCGGTATGTCTGTCCCTTTTTTCTCTAGATTCTATTTTCCTAAGTTCATCGGGCTCTACTATAACCTAACTCGGTCGTCTGGGAACACGCCATTGGGCCGCAGTTGACTTTAGCAAGTTTGGTCTTATTCTTTACGAAAAAAAAAAAACAAGCAAAAAATCGACGCCTTGAAATTGCATCATTTTAATGCAAAAATGGTGAAAGTTTGAGCTTTCTATGAACAAATACCAATTGTTCCTTTCTTTTATTTTTGCAGGGTAGGATTTACCGCGCACACTACAATTTGCCGTTAGTTAAAAAACAACGTTACTTTTCCGATCCTTTCGATTGCGTCACGTCGTTATCACTTGCAGCATCAAAAAGAAGAGCTTAGATAAGGCTCGCAACATTTGAGAACAAAGCTTATTCACAATTTGTTTTGTCAGCTTGAAAACAGTCCGTTTGTAATGTTCATTGGGAATTGCAACCACCGGATTACGAACTGCTTATCTGCTCACTTCTTGCGGAACAACGCCAGTAGCCTATCTTCCATTTCACAAACAGCTCACTTTTTTGTCACAGCTTTGACATTATTTAGTTTTAGTTATCTTGTGGGCACCTCAGGTTAGAGGTCCTTTGAGGTTGATTAAGATTTTTTTTTCTTTTGCAAGTGGGGAAAGATGGACTATTGGAACGAATAAAAAAATGCTATACAATATTAACACTCCCTCTTTGCACTGAAAGGGGTTTGCAGAAAACCCGGCCTTCATAATTTCAGAAAACAAAGCAAACTAGCACGTAAACTTAAAACAAACTGACCTTCGTTTGTACAGTTCGGTAACAATCGATTTACCCCTCGTTGTTCAGAATATCTATAATCTGATCTAGTGAGCATATGGCAGCATTCTAAGGAAACATGGTGATTGAGTAGTCGTAGACACGGAGACCCAGGGGTCAGGAGGAGTTGAGAAAATAAGTTTTCAAGTAATTTGATCACTTTCAAATGTAATCAGATTTGTTTTGCGATTCCTACCTAAGCAGAGCAATCAAATGACTACAAAATGAATTCCACTACATCACGAGTCACTTCATTATTTATAAGGGGTCCTGTGCAAGTCTCTACTCGGGACGCTCCGATGCACTGGCAGAACGAGACGCTAACTATACCAGAGGTTTGTGCGCACAAGCTGCGAGGCAGACTAGCTATTGGTTCGCCTCTACGTTCATCTTTTTTCACCTTATTTACTATATGGGTTTAAAGTCTCACTCATGGTAAAGAATACTAATGGTTTTTAAATTCTGGATTGAATGAGAGTAATTGGAAACACTTATATTGTAGTGGATTATTTTCGTTTTACATTGTCCGTATTCTCGAACAATTAAAAACAAATATACTTTAAGAACTGCTTAGGTTTAATAAGCACGATGTAATGCACGACGCTGCACTTTGCACCGTCGTCGATAACGCAATTTTTCCCAGTATCATTATTTCTACAAATATATTAAGGTCAGACACTTCAATATTGCGTTTTAAGTGATCGGCCCGCGCTTAAAGAAACGGTGAGTGCGCAGACGAGCTGGTTAAAAATATTTGTATACTGTGCAAAAAAAAATTGTCGGACAAAAAAAGAAAAAAGAAGAAAATTGTTAATCGAAGCAAGAAGCAAAGGAGGGAAACGTCGGTTTTAAGTCCTTCCCTCCCGTCTCTCTTTCTTCGTCTACAAAGCTTTTTTTTTTTTTTCGTTCCACAGTGTGAGGTTATTGGCGATAATATCAGACAGTTTTAGTATAGCGTTTCTGGCTCTTACGTACGCAATACGCAATAGTATAGCGTACGCTGATAACTACCTGCTATTGTGAAAGGCTACGACACACCCGTTCCACGTTTACGAGAGCGGCGCGTGCCCCTGGCTTACGTCGACCAAAGCACGCTCTCGCACCGACCGGCGGCTCGTGCGGGAGCTTCGGAGAACTCGGCTCTCGAGACAACCTTTGTACAAGCTGGGTGTCCGTGTCTGTGTGTGTGCGTGTGGATGACTCTTCAGCGAGCGAGCCACCACGCCGAGAGACCCGCCACGAACTTCTTCGGCATTGGCTGGCCGCTGGCACACGAACTTCTTCCACATTGGCTGCCGAGGACCACGTAGGCCCCTGCGATTGGACAAGCCAGTGGACGGCGAGATGGGGGGCGGATATATAAAGAAAGGACACCCGTGAAGTTGTTGTGGTACGAACACTGAAAGGATGTTGTAATTAATGTAAATAAAGTGTGTTCTGTTTTGCTGAGCTCGTCGCCTCCCGGCTCCTCGATCTGTCTCCTACCCGGCACAAGGTAGTGTCGCCGGACTGGGAGCCTTCGCCGGAACCCTCAATCAGGACACTGCTCGCACCAAATTTAGTATAGTGCGTTCCGCAAACGTTGCCGAGTGAACATCTCGCATGACCATCTTGATTTAATTTGATCGAGCCGTACAACTCCGCGTGCGTACAGCAGCGCACCATGCTCCTCAAAATAAACATTAAAATGAAAAGGTTTCCAGTACTTTTATTTCATATTAAGCCAAGCCGCAGGTGCCTGGTCAAGCGCGCTTTTCTGCGGGGTACGGAGGTTACGAGTACGAGTGTGTAGCTAAATTCGATCACGGAGCCTCCGTCCTCGTCCCCTGGAAAGGACACCTTTTATCAGTGCTATCGCGGGAAGAAACCCATGTCCTACTGAAATCCATGACCTACTCATACGTCAACTTCGGCGATTTTTTTAAGAGTCGTTCGTTCGTCGGCGATGAACTGCGCCAAGAGGCTTAGCGTCGAGCAGATCGCGACGCTCACGCACATTGAGAGCGGCCAACATTTTCACTATGCACTCGTTCCATTGTACGGTGACCTGACTCGATTGCGGTAGGTTCCGGAAAGAATTACCGACCTGAACACCACGTAACTTAACGTAACACTAAACTTCGCGAACACCACGTCGCCCATGCCGCGCTAGTCGAGGTAACCATCATCTTGTGAAACAGGTGGTCTCGCTGAGTCCGAGATCTCTCGAGAGCTTCATGCAAAACCCGCTAGCCCGCAACGCGAAATCCCCAGCGTTGCGTGCATACGCCACACCCTATCCCTTCTATTGCCTTCTGAGCATGCGCAACCCTGACCCGCAATTCGTTTGCGTACGCAAAGCTTTTACGTACGATTCATTAAGACTGTCTGTTAATTGCACTTGAAGTTCTGCGAGCGATAGATGAACGTCCAGTGCCAACGAAACAAAATGGACTTGCGGAGTGGCTGGCCTTGCGCATATAGAGTTAGTCTAGCGATGCCTGGAAGAACTGAGCAGCGGAGCCATACGGTTAGTGTAGTGTAGGGGAACCGTAAATGCTCCTTGAGCGAACCTTATGCTCTCACTCAGTGAGGCCACAGGCTCAGCCTGTCTATAATGCTTCGTTGAGCACCGTGCTTTGAGAACTAGATATAAAAATGCATTTTACCGTTGCCAATATGAAGATGCCTGATGCAATGTCCTTGACAACGGCTGACTTGAATCTCAGCTCGAGATACTGTAAGAAATATAATAAAACGCAATACTATGGCATTAGCAAGTTTGTACAATCGATGACAAATGCCCGGTAGTTACATTTTCTTTTGTATTCGATACGCTCGAAAGAAATTACGTACGCTAGTAGTCACCTGCAGGTAACTAAAAGTTTTAGTTGTTTTCTCAATCGGAATAATTCCGGTTTCACGAAACTAAGTCCACATCTTAAGTTTTCTTAGTTCGGTTCTCATAAATAATACTTCTTTGGAGACGCTATGACATGTACAATTCGAGCCCCCCCATTCAATAAAGAACAATAATGATTGAGAAATTTGAAAGATTACAAAACTTGAAAGTATAAAAACAGCGAGGACGAGGATAGAACCAGGTCATCTTTGAAAGATGTCCTGTTTCCGTCCTCGTCCTCGCTGTTTTTATACTTCCAAATTTTTTATCTATTAACCAACACGATCGTTTTCAATTGAAAGATTAAAATGGGTCAGTATTAAAACGGTCTCAAATACACGAGAAAAAAAAAAAAAAGATCTTCAAAACTTTTGCAGATGCTTAAATGAACAACTTGTAAAACATTGATTGCTTTACAATAGAGACCTCAACACTCGGGGACCACTTTTTTGGCAAAGGCGGTCAAAGATACGGGCACACTTGCCCACTCCCCTTCTTAGCGCTGATTAAAGCTGTGCACGCGCTCTCTCTTTCTCCTTCGGAAATGCCAAGAAAAGTTGTCCCCGAGTATAGTAACCCTCTTCTACCAAAAATTCGAACGCAAGCGCATACCCAGTAACAGAGGATGTCTGCAAAGCAGGTTTGGTTGCCATGGCAACATAAGAAAAAAGATGTACACGCGTGTTTACTTGAAATTAAACCAATATGTACTGATCTCTCACCATTAAATGAACCCAGAACAACCCCTTGGTCCACAACCCGATATTTCATTTCTATGCCGGCTAAGGTATATCTTATACGTCCTTCTTCTAAAGTATCCCCATGCCGGTACTCTCTACTCCACAAGGTGTTGCTCTGTTGCAAAGAGTAAGATGATGGAAATAAAAATATATATGTTACTGTAAAACCTTTAATGTTCGCGAGCCCTCAATTTTCGCGAATTTCACGAATTGAAGAATTCGCGAAACTTAAAGGGGCACTGACACCCTAAAGGTCGTATTCTTTTTTATTGTCTAAAACGATGCAAGTTGTAGTCATAGACACGCAAAAAAAACCGCATCGCGAAAAAAAATTTCCCCGCGCGCACGCGCGCCTTTTTATTTTTGGCGTTTATATTTCCCGCGCTCACCTCCTTGCTTCTTTTGATCGGTGACGTCAAAAATCAGGAAATTTAGAAGCTTTGTAGGCGACCTTTCTATAACATTTAATAACGGCAATCGTAAAACATGTTTTTTAACGCAATTACGAACGCACTACGGCCTTTCTTTTTGAAATACTGAAAATAAGATTTCGGTGTGATGTCGCTTCCTGGATTTGCATGCTCCCTCGGAAACCTCGGAAAACTTGGCGGCGCGCGAGCAGAGGGTTATCGGCGAGTCGGGGAAGAAACCGGTTTTTTTCCCGCGCCGGCACCCTTCTATCCCGCCTGCCCGCCTCCTCCTCGCTTCGGGTCGCGGTAGCAACGGCGCTTAGCTTCACAGCGTGGAGCGGAGGTCTGAAAGAAAGTCGAGTCGCAGGAGACCTCAAAATTTGACTCACTGCACTGGCGCGGATCGCGCGGGAACTTCAAATTCGGCATTTGGAAATTGTTTTTTTAATTCAGAAATACGGAATTCCCAAGTTTCAAATTTTGAGGGTAATGTCCAGGCATCGGTTTCAATCGTTTCGGATAGTAAAATAAAATATGATTTTGATGTGTCAGTGCCCCTTTAAGGGCGCGCGAAAATTTCGGTCCTTAAGATTTTCAATGCAGGCGTCTGGAATTCGCGAAATTTAGTGGCGTGATTATGTCATCTGTGACCGATTCGCGAAAAATAGGGGCCACGAAAATAAAGGGTTTTACAGTATCTTATGCTTGCAACGACTTTTTATTGACATCTAAACATATTTAGACAAGCGCTCCTCAAATAATATGCATTCAATTCAATACGCGACTTTGGATATACATATCGCTACCAATTTTATACTCTAATCAAATTAATTTCTGATAATTGCTGACAATTGTGTGAATGGCGATAGATGACTGTTCGCACCTTTGCTAAAAGCGAAGTAATAAAAAAAACAATATATTTTATTTGAAGTGTCTAATTTATTTAATAGGCCAATTTGTTTTAACTCTACTAAGCGAATTGGATATATAAAATTGGTTACTTGTTGCGGTTACCACACAGCCGGACCATCAAAATGTTTGACCAACAGGATCCTAAAACATAAAACCAGAATTCAGATATAAGCTTGGTCAAATTTGGCTTTTATGATTTTAAGTTTCAATAAATAGATTAGAAAAAGAGCTTCCACAAGCTTTCACTTAATAAATGAAAGTTGTCCGGAAAATAACTTTTCCAGAGAACACAATTTTACCCATTTTATACTCTATTATAAACACGCCGCAGTCCTGATAATTCCAAGCTACCAAACTGTGCTTAATTACAAAAAGAAAACGGTTATGTCCAGCTTCCGTTCTAATTCCTCTCTCGGGATAAAACGCATCTTTTTAAAATACAAAACAATGAACGCAGAGCTCACCTGGTTAATACTAGTTATGTCCATCTTGTAGTATATGGGCATAAAGACGAAGGCCGCCAGCGATATGGCAACGATTGCGGACAGCACGTTAATCCAGAGCGTGGAACCGTGCAGGAACACTTCGGCCGGCAGGCCCAGGATGGCGATTGAAGACAGAAAACTGGCCATCATGGACAGCGAGACGGGAAACCATCCGAGCTGCTTATTGGCCGTTAGGAAGGTCCTGTTGGACTGTCGACGCCGGTCGGCCCAGGCGAAGTACACGCCGATGGATGCTGACAGCAGGAGGAACCCGACTAGCACCACGTAGTCCGCGAACGCGAAGGTCGGTGCCGCCATGGTAGAGGAGAGTCCCTGGGTTACCCTGGTCAGGGAAAGCAGTCAATCATCGCTATAGAGCTGCAGCAGAAGCGAAAGAAGGAAATGAACGAAATGGAAGTATGCTTCAAAGTGAACCAAGGTGAGCTTGTTAGGAAGGGTCATGTCGCGTTCTCCGTTACTTTATTCCCCTCTAACCGCGAATCCATGGGTGCGACCTCACCGCATTGAATCGAGATGTGACGATTGTGATCAGGTAGAATAGTTAAAAGCAGAGGGACTGAACACGTGTGTTCGGTTCCCTCTCAATTCGGTGTGCTACTGTCGCACCCCTGTGAACGCAGTCCGTGTCTCAAGGTTAAGATTTTGGTGTATACTAAGCTTATTTGTCTAGGGCGATGCACTTAGGCCCGCTTCAGAAGGGGCAACTTTCCCAGCAACTTCGGTGTTGCTGGCGAGTTCACCTTAAAAGGACCACTTGAGTTCAAACTCAAACTCTTTATTTCTCTCCGTTTGGAGAGGAGAGACAGAGGAGAAAGCAACTCAGTTGTTGCTTGACGAGCCTCTGCCTCCCTACAGCAGCGAAAGAGGACAGCATGAACGGTGCGTCCCAAACTTAACGCCGCCATAAGATGGTCCGGTTTCTTCACTTTCTGAGCTATTCCTAAACTGAGCGGTCGAACTAGTCGGTGAAAGTTTGCGTCTGCAGCGACTAATTTATTTTTGGGTAGCATGCAATAAGTCAATATTCGCGTAACCGAGTGGCGGCGTTAAATTTGAGGGGCACTGTACATACACATAATGTTTTTTTTTGTTTTTTTTTTTACCATCACACTTATAGCACAAAAATAAACAACTTAAGATGGGGGAGGGAAAGGGGGAAAAGTAATAGATTTATCGAAGTTTACGAATAGACCGATACCACCAAGCGAACTGCGGAGGCGCGCGCATTCCGGGAGTATTGCCGCCGCCATGCTTCTTGTAGTCATCGACTCATCGCTCTCCGGCTTCCCGGCTGAAAAGGGCTCATGTGGGCGTACATCATAGTTTGGGAAGCCCTGGTGTTATCTTGGACTCTCCTGCATATCAGTACTTTATAAGATTGTGTTGTGTGTGATGTCTTAGTTTGTCATCAGGCGCAAAAAAAGTTTCAGTCGTCTTATCGCTTTAGAATCGCTTTGTCGTCTGCTTCGTCGTCGTCCGCTTCTTCGCCTTCGTGAACGCGCGAGAACCCACTGCGTTCACGCTGTGGTCTTACTGCAACAGCGGCAAAAACAACGAGGCCCCTTCTCCCTCGAGCACTCCGGGTGCTCCTACGTCTCAATAAACTTGGAAGCAAGTGAATATCTACCTACACGTGAAAGAGCACACAATTCGAGGGACCATCGGCTCGGTGTAGCACCGCGGAACAGCGTCAAACGTGTCGGTGAAACACTGAGCTATGTTGTGCGCAGGCTTGGGCATAGCTTTTATTCGAAAATGAAGTAAGACGAGCTCAAGAGACATTCTCGGAGAGCGATAGTTTTCTAAAACTCGTTCTATTCTGGTTGAGAGCCTTTGCGACAGGGTACATATGAACTGCGGGGGAAAGCGTGCACACAAAGAAACGGTCTACAAAAAGAATCTGCCTGACGAGCCGTAACAACTCGCATTTGTCAAAATGAAACGTAACCATGAGAGATGCCTGAGAACTTTGGGTAGAGATGAGCTCTTGTGTACAGTTTCGTTTCTATTTTATTTGGTTTGCTCAAGCTCCGAACGGTAAGAGCTGACCGACGGGGAATGCTTTTTTCCGCTGTGTAGATTGGTGTTAATACAGAATGGATCAGTAACGCCAGCAAAATCAGATTGTGGCATAATATCCCACTAAAAAAATGAAGTCTGATATTGAAAAAGTCGTTTTATTTCAAGTTATGTATATATATACATACCGAGAATCGCTGCTCTTTCTTCGGTGATTGTACTGATCTTTTGAAGCACAGTTGTGCTCAAAACATGTCGTATCAATAACAGTTGTAACCACCAAAATGCATCAACCAAACATTGTATTAAAAACGGTCGCCGCAAGGCAGTGTGGAAGTTCCGATATACCGCTACAAAGCGAGTGCTCTGAAAGATTCCAACGTACGGAACACTTTGGTACGCCCTACTACGTCTCATGCCCTGAGTAAGCTTACACTCTTTAGTTATCTTACAATGGGGTGAATATAAATTATGAATCAAATAACGAAACAAATCTAAAAACGCTTTTTCCTGCCGCTCTTCTACCGCTCTCTTTACCTGTTTTAGACACTGTTTTCGTGGGCTGCTTTCTTCCGGGAAGACATAAAATCCGATACCTTTTTGCCTGGTGCTGTTATTGTAGCACCTTGACACAGAACGGATGAAGACACCCATTAAAAACCGTGAGTAAACGGCCGACTAAAAGTTTCGTGCTAACCTGAAAATTCCCAAACGCCGGACGTACAACGCGCCTTGACGCGGCCAGAAAACTGGGGAGAACTACAGGTACCAGAATGCACCGCGGCAGCGGTGGTGTCGTGCAACTCCTTGTGAGATCGGTCTATTCCAGGGCACTCTCTCACAAGCATGGAACGTATATTTTTTTATGGTTTCATTCAAAACTTCTAAATTCAACTCACTCAGGCGATTTAAAAAAACTGGGTACTATATATTTCAACGTCTGATTTCCGTAGTTCGTTCTGGAGTGCGGCACTAACCATGCGTCTACAGACCTAGTTTCATAGGCAAATTCTCTCATTCCAGGGTTGGAAATAGACATGAATATATTTTCTTTTTGGTAAAAATATCTTTTCAATGCCAGAAAAAGTTTGTAATAATACTGATTAGGAATCCGTAGAGTATGAATCAGTCTGAATATTTGTAGAGTATGAATCAGTTTTATGTTTGTAGCGGTCGTATTCCCCCATACCAAGAAGCAATAATTATATTTTGAGTTGAAGATGGAATTATATGTAAGAAGCAAAACCGAAATTGGGATAATGTGGCGATGTTTGTACATAATACCAACAACTCTTGATAATTTTTGACATGTCTGTTGTACAGTCTCGTCCCATGACATGTATTGATTAAATATAATTCCGAGAACTTTTACGCTTTCAATTCTATATCTATACAGTGTGTTCCAAGAGAAAGAATGGACTTGTAAGAACAGCTTGTACTTCGTGATTTAAATAATACGGCTTTTTTTGTACTGCCATTTATTCTTAATGAATTTGAATTTGTCCAGGCATTTAACTTTTACAAAAAAAAATTATTTGCGGCACTTATAACTTCCAGACTTACATTGTTATTAATATTTACGATGTCATTGATGTATAATTTAAAAAGAAGTGGTCCCAGAATGCTCCCTTGCGGTACGCCGGCAATCTGTTTCCTAAAAACCAATCGATTTTTTTATTTATTTCAACACACTGGTATCGATAACTAAGATAACTTCTAATCATATCGAGAGCAACGTCACGAATGAGAGTTATGCTTGATCCGGTCAAACGTCTTTGAAAAAATTTATGAATACTCCGAGTGTTAATAACTTTTTCAATGTTGTTTAAAATTAACTCCTTTTGTTTTAACAAGGCAAGTTCGGTAAATAAACCCCTCCTAAATCCGTATTGACAGAGCGTTAAGATAGAAAACTTTTCGCAGAAACTATACAGCCTATGATGTATTATTTGTTTCTAGACTTTTTGAAACTATCGGTAAAACAGAAATCGGTCTATAATTACGAGGTTGTTTTTATCTCCAGCTTTATATAACACAGACACCTTTGCTGCCTGCATTTTCGGGGGGAAAGTTCCGTTCTCAATTGCTAGATTAAAAATATATGTTAAGCAAGGACACAGTTGACTGCAAAACATATTTGATAGGTTTATTTGAAAATCATAGATCATTATTTGAAAATCATTACTATTTTTTAAGCTTTGGAAAACAAAAAATAATTCGTGTTCGTCGGTTGAAAACAGGAACATACTATGTGAAACCTTCTGGACATACTTAACGGCATCCGCACAGTGTGTACTCTGGACAAGTGTAGCAAAATGATCACTAAACTTTTTGGCCAAAGCAACTCCTTTTACGACGATACCTTCGATTTTTATTTCTGCTACTTTATCCGCATAACACGCCTGTTTTATTAACTCATTTACTTTGTTCCATACTACCTCGGATCTCTCTTAAATAAGTTATTGAAATACACGCGTTTAGCCTGCCTTAAAGTTTTTGTTATTTGATTTCTAAGCTTCTTAAATGCAACCAAGATGTTACCATCTTTAGTGTGCACGAATCTGGAGTAGAGAATATTTTTTTTTTCATTTCGGGTGTAACCCAGGGTTTACGAGACTTTCGATGAACCCTATGCGATTCATAAGGAAAGCAGCGGTCATATATCATTTTAAACCTTTGAAGAAAACAATTAAATGCTTCGTCAGATGACACGATAGACAGTACCGCACTCCAGACTTCAGAACTCATTTTTTGTTCAAAAATATCAAGGTTTCTAGCGCTTATATTTCAAAAATAAATCTGATCATCACATATTTTTTTGGAGTTGTAGTCTACATTTGCAAGCATATATACTGGAAGGTGGTCCCTAATAGGTTCCCCAACCACTCCAGCAATTATGTCGGTTTCTGAAATATTTGTTAAAAATAAATCCAACAATGCCGCATTTCGGGGTGTAATGCGAGTAGGCTGGGAATTAACATTGAAGAGTCCGTATGACAAATATAAAGTCAACGATTCAATTTTATGCGAGGAGGACGCAAGCATGTCTATGTTAGAACCACCTCTAAAACAGACAATCAATTTGTTTTCACCAAGAAACTTAAAATGCAGGTCGAGAAACTCAAGAAAGGGGGAGACATTACCACTCGGCGGGCGATAGACAACTGATAAAACAGTTTTTGCATGTTGTAAAATTAGTATTTCATAATCGCATGTAATAGCTGTACAGTCACTTATAAGTGTGCACTCTAGTCTTCTTTTTACATGTATGCATACTCCGC